CAACATATCAAAATATTCAAGAAAAATGGAGTCCAAACTATGGTTGAGTTTGACAGCATAGAATCCGCCACTAGAGCCATTGAACGACTGTGGCGTCTACTCCGTTTGCTGCACACAGAAGATCGACTATGCCAACTCAATGTTTACAAAACCGACACTCCAGTTGAGACTTCCAGGTTGGAAGCGGCCGTCTCCAAGGATGCCTGCAACGGACGAGCCTCGTTGCTACACGGGCCTACCATCTTCGGCACAAGGCCCACCCCGTCAATCATTAGTCAACCATGGTCCTAAACTAGCTCTTCTGGGAGTCGGTGGAGGAAACGGATTTGCACCAAATTTTTCATCGCCCGAGTTTCATCCGGCGGAAAACTGGAAACCAACACCGGTCGGAACACACGTTGGACTGTGATGAAGGAAGCACCGCTGACCCGAAACGGACCAGCCAACTTCATTCAACCGGTACAGCAACAGGGCGCAGTAATGATGGTATTCGGACTCGATAACAACACAGCCATCACCGGGAAGCTATTCTATTTGTTCTGCCTGTACGGAAATGTTGTCAGGATAAAGTTCATGAAGACCACTTGAACAACATTCCAATCGAAACTGATGGTAGCAAAATTCAGATTTCATTTTCCAAGCAGAACTACTTGTCAGAGACCACCGATCCCTACACTCTGCCGGACAATTCTATCAGCTTCAAGAACTACAGCGCCTCCAGGAACAATCGCTTCCTTTCCCGAGCAAGATTCTCCACTTCTTCAATACCCCACCCGGTATGTCCGAGGATCTACTGCTGACTGCATTCACACCCACGCAAGTGCGAATGTTGCCGCTGAAATCGGAACGTTCCTCCTCCGGATTGGTTGAGTTCCCGAGCGTAGCCCTGGCAGTGAACGCCATCATGAAGTGCAACCACAGCGCGATCGATCACAAAGGCACAACATTCCCGTTCATTATGGAGCTGTGCTTGTCTTCGTCCAACACGATGAACGGTGCGTGGAGCAACGAAAACATCGAAAACATGGACATGGGCATGGCACCGGTACCTGGTAACACAATGTCGGCGGCGGCCCCGACAGCCTCCTCAGCCGTGGCAGCAGCGCCCGGTGGTGTGACACCCATTTCGGTAACGGGCGACTGTCTCAAATCCGAACACGATGAACCAATGTAAGATGGAGTCCGTGTCCTTTGAAGGAAACCAAAAGCAACGACGATACTTGGTGGAGATTCACGGTTGTGCCTTGAAAAAAAATGGTTATATTGTGGCAACATCAATAACAAATTTTGACACATGCACACTGCGCTGGCGCAGAAAAAGTACAGTGTTGCCAGTAACTTCAAAGATCAGAAAAATTATAACCATGGGTGCCAAACAGTGCCAATGACTGTGCCCTGGTGTGCCCAAGCTTATTTTTGGCACACTGTGCGGAGTGACCCCTTGATTTGATCCTCAAAACCATCCCCATCAAGATGAAGTTATGTTAAGTTTTCTTTATTAAGGAGGCTTTCAGCCTGCGGCTGGTTCGCCTCCATCGATCAAGATGAAGACGAATATTAATATTGACGACAACAGAGGCGATAATCAACATCCAGCCAAGAATGAAGACAATCAAATGTTGATTTCGATACTCACAGGTTGCCTTGATCAAGAGAATGTTGTTTCATCAAAATTCAAATTCATGCAGGTAGTTAGCAGGGCTCTACATTTTCGAAGCTCTGCATCACTCTAAGTTTTTAGGTGATCCCTGGGGCTGGTAGTAGGTCACTTTTTATTTTCTAGATCACTATTTTCAACAGTCACTAAAATTGTAATTTATGCAACGAGTTGCATGCAAAAAAATTTGCATTCAAAAGAGGGAATCTCAGGGAATTCCATTTATGATCTTGACACTCAGGGAATAATCTTTAAGTTCACGGAAATATTTCTCAATCCTTGTTCATAACTGCATTACAAACTATAATGATAACACCAATCATGTAGGAAAGTGAAACAATGTTTTGTTTAGAAGGCTAAGACTTGAACTTTTTAAATCCAGGTAATAGTTCTAGCCCAAGGAAGCATTTTTTAAAGATCCAAAACATGAATCATTTCTTCAAGGTTCTTGGGCGTATTTCACTTTCAAGGTTTCGTAAAATTTTGAAGATTGCGCGAACTTAGCTCTTCTTCTTCTTACGGGAAGGTACTGAGGGTAAATCGAAAATCTAAAATTGCGACCGTCACAAAAGGTTTAAGGTTTTGAACGCTTCTAACTTTGTCATTTATGGATGAAATTAAAATTCAAATACACCAATCGATAGGAAATAACTCTCAAAATCTGCTGCAATAAATGCTTTTTCAATTGTTCATACAAAAAACTGTTGAAAAATGTACAAATAAAAAGTAGTAATTTTATCACTGTTTTCATGAAATAAACGTTGTCCCCAAACCCAGTCGTCATAATCGAGTACCATTTAGTTGTACATCGTGCTGGATCAATCCCTTGCCTGAATGATAACGATCTCGCGTTCTACAAATTTCGATTACTCTTTCGAAATGACATATCAGCTTTTGTAAACAACGCATTTTATCGTCGGTTCGGCGTAACTGATAGCTTGCCCACGTATACTAACACCACTATATCCGGTAGGGGAAAATTAGCCTTATCTGACGGTAGAATTGCCGAATTTAACTCATTATTAAACGTGACATTTCGAACGTTATTTTCAATGTTCGAAAATCCCGAAAATTGATCGGTTTTCAAATAGAACTCAGGCACGGTTGCCAAAATTTAACTTCTAGTCGGTCCGAAATAACCACGCTCGGGTAGCAGGGTTATTCGATAGCTCATCTATCACTTTTAACCACGAGTTAAATTTAACGCCCATTGGGACAGCCTTGGAAGCAAAATTGGGGAAATCCATAAATGACGTAGAACAAAACGAAATTTAGGTACTGTTACTCTATTTATGCATATAGATTAGCTATGAAAGTCCATCCTACTTGGAAAATTATGCTATAGAACGGTTTACAAAATCCCAGTTTTTTTTGCTGATGGGGGCGAGGCATAGCAAGCCGTTCGATTGCATAATTCTCCAAGTAGGAGGGACTTACAATGCATATCTCTTTGCATCAATAGAGGTACCGTCGAGTTTTTTTTTCAGTGCTGATACTGAAATTCGACAGTGAACTTTCAAAAGGGCCTACTTGCAATGATCGATTAACTTCATCGATTTTCTCTTAAAATTGCTACAGGTAAGCGAAACAATTCAAGCTGAACATTTCATTAAGTCCTAATTAACATTGACAAGATTATATTCGTCGATTTTCTCCTTGTATCTCTTCGGCACTGCAATGTAGAATTTCACTACACAGCTTAACGTTGTCTACGTCAACCATCGTGTCTTGTACACAACCCCACCAATTTTTTTTTTCTCCTAATATTCGTAGATCTTCTTTAAAGTTTACCGTACTTTCCAATAATGTTATAAAATTTCCCCTACGTTTCGCAGAACGTCTTTAAAGTTTGTAGAACTTTGTTGACATTAGAAGAAGTTTTCTTATTTTTTTAACTTTCCTGGAGGATGCAGAGCTACATTGAAGTTTATATAATATTGCTAGAGTTCACGGAACTCTCTCGAAGCTCGTAGAACTTAGCACCCCTGAAGCTCGCAAAACGTGCACAATGAACATCTCTGAAGGTTGTTGAAAATATCTATTTCTCTGGCGTTTGCAAGAATTTGCTGGGGTTCGAAGTCCATAAAATCTTCCTAGAGCTCGGAGATCTTCATTGAAGTTCGTTGAACTTTCCTGGAGTGTGTAGAACTTACATGTGTTCGCTAGAGTTCTCTCAAGTTTACAGAATTTCTTTAAAGTTCGCACAAATATCCTACAGTTCGCAGAACGCCCCTAAGATTTGCAGAACTTTACTGTAGTTTATAATTTCGCTTGAGTTCAAAGAACCCTCCGAAAAAATGCAGAAAGTCCCCAAAGTTTGGAGCAGTTGTCTAAAATTATCAGAACCTGTTTGAAGTTCGCAGAACTTCATTGAAGCTCATAGAGTGTTGCTGAATCTCGTAGAACATTCTGGATGTTTTTAAAATGTCCCTAAAGCCCGTAGATTTTTCCTGAAGTTCGAAAATCTACACTGAAGACCGCAGAACGTTTTTGAAGTTTACAAAACTTTATTAAACTTCACTGCAGTTCCCTGAAGTTTGCTAAACTTCTTGAATCGAATAAGTCCAATAACTGAATTCTGGATTATTTCTCCAAATACAACTATCCTCGTTTCTAGTATTATAGGGTAGATGCCCCTAACATCGGCCTCATATAACATATATCACAAAATTACCAGCCCTACCGCCCACCAAAGTGACGTGCAAAGAAAACACAAAATGCCAAAGCAAGTTGTCATTTCACACATTGTGATACAAAAGATAACACCTTGTCAAGAGACCGGCGCTTACAAAAACAAACGATAAACAGTGCAGTGAAAAAGTGGTTAACCGGCAAACCGCAAATCGTTTGACCGAAAATAACCCACCGAAAAATGACGCGACTGCACAAAGCCGACTAGCCAGGCTAGGCCAGAACGCATAATTTAGTTGCTGGCGGTTCTTCACATCGCACACCGAACACGCCCATTCTAAAAATAACCCGTTCCGTTTCTTGCTCGGCCGGTTGTCCAAAATTTTTTTCTGGTAACATCTTCTTCTACCAATATTCGTTTTTTTTTCGCGTTTGCCTTAATGATCAACACAATTTTTGCACTCCCCCTCAATACTGCTCGGCTGCTGCTGTCAACCTCAACTTACGAGCATCGCGTGTGTGTTTGTCGCTCGGCATAGATTATAAATATTTTGGTTTTTCAGCGAGAGCATAAGACCACTTGTTGAGTGAGTGACCTGACGGGGCGAATTTCGACGATTTTCGAGAAGCGTGTGCCGGCTTTCGAGTTAATTCCCGGTGGCGGCGAGAGTGGAACTAATTTTTCAATTATTCAAAATTATGATTGACTTACCTGTAGACCATCTTGGCTTTGGTGTTCTTCACCCGGAAGTAGAACCACTGTGTGTGCCGGTTGGTGTACATGTCCGGCCGCAGGTACAGCTCGTAGTAGGTTGGCGTGATCTTGATGGCTCGGCCGAGGTTGCCGCTCTCGAACCGGGACTCGAAGACCAGATCGTCCGGATCGAACGCATTCGGTTGGGCCGTCGGTTGGGCCTTCGAACCTCCGACCGTCGAACGGCTAAACTGCGGAACGGAAGTAGTCGGTGATGAACCATCATCGAGAGTTGACGAAAGTGTATCGGTGTTGAGTGGGTTGTTGCTGTTGTTGTGATGCATGGCTGTGGAGTTGAGGTGCAACAGTGTTGGTGCTGATTTGATTTCGTGCTTGCTCTGCTCGCCCTCCGAGTCGTTGTCGGATTCTGGATCACTAGCGTAGAAGTTTTGTGCGGGGGTGGGAGTCGCACCGTTGTTCTGAACGGGACTTGCCGAAGAGGACGAAATGTCAACCTGCTCGGCGTCGTCTTCCTCCTCGTCCTCTTCTTCGTCTTTGGACGATGACTCCGAAGTTTGCGAATGAGGCTGTGGCTGTGGCTGTTCCAATGTCAACTTCTTTAGCTGACCCCCCATGAAGATCTCTGATTCGTCGTTCATCTGGCCGATTGTCAGCTTTGAGTTAAACTCGCTAGGGCCGTACCGCAGAAGACCATTGTCTTCGGTATCAGTGTCTGTGGATGAACCATTTGCTTCATCGTCACTGTAGCCAAAGTAGTGCCAGTTGGAGTCGTCGTCCAGATCTAGTACCGGACTGCTGTAGAATCGGTCCGAGCAGCGATCCTGTCCGGATGGAAAATGGTTACTCGCATCCGAATCTTCGTCATCGTCAGTTTCATCGTCGTCATCGTCTAGAAATTGCGGCTTATTATCTCGACATTCGGAAGCAGTGGATTTGGAGTCGCTGTTAGACGGGTGAAGCTTCTCGGGAGTTAGTCGCGTTGGCGATGGACTCGGTGAGCTAGAAGAGCTATCACTGTCCTGCTGGTAGTAGCATTTGTGAATTTGTGCGAGTAGGGGTGCAAGGCATTTGTTGGCGTGTTTTTTTTTGGTTGTGCGTTAGTATGGAGAAGCGTGGCCAAAAGAAAGATTCATTTTAGAGAACCGTCTGGGGACGTTGACAGAGGATACACGCACTCGCAGCACTCGTTCGCGTTTGGATGGGTAATTCAGGGACGCTTGAAGTTTGAAGGTTAGCAGAAGCATTGGCAGGCAGACAGATTACAACAACAACAACAACAACAACATCAACATGGCTTAGTCCTGCAACTTTCACAGCATCCATGCTACACAACAGCGAGCGGGGTCGTTTCGGGTTATTTGGTATCAGTTAGGTTGGCTTTGGAGTTTGGCCAATGTAGTACAGTATATATCCGTTAATCCGAAGATCGATGATGCAAAATAAAAGGTCTAAATCATTGCCTACAAGAGTATAAAGAAATCAAAACCATTACGGGAGAGGACTAGTCCAGGGAATCTTCAGGAAAAGCCCAGCTAGGATTCCACGGGGGATCTCGGTGGTAAACCCAGCAATCTTCCAGGACAAGTCTAGGGTCCTCCGACGAAAGCAAGTTTGGTGACGTTCAGAGAGTTCTTCAACTAAACTCAGAGGACTCTGCGTACAAGTTCAAAAGGCCTTTGGAACGAGCCCGAAGAACGTATAGAGCATCTTCAGATTTAAATGCCTGTAAGTCCTACGGAGTCATCTTAAATGTCGTCCTACGCAACTGTCTTCATGGACCTGTGCTTGGAATCATTTACATGTATGCCTGGAACAACTTAAATTTCCGACAAAATGCATTTGACTCGTCCTAGAAGTCCTCTTAACCTGCCCTTTGAGTGTACCCAACCAATTTCTGTGGACCTTCCTCAACACATTATCCACGTGCGTCTCCGAAGTTTACTGAATCTTTCTTCAAAGTCGCTGAATCCACCGCTGAAGTCAGCAGGGAAATCATTAGCTCATTGCTTGATAAGTACCATTAAACTGCCCCTGTGCTAACTGAACAGCTGGACCCACTTTCCGAGTTCACTTGTATCACCTTTGAAACCACCTCCGAAGACATGTGAACCTGGAACTTATCAGATCAAGACTGAATCCAAGTAACATTTCAAGTTCTATCGAGGTTTTATAGCATTCTACAAGTCTAAACAATGATCTATAGAACCTTCATAAAACCCAAATTGTTACTTGGGAATGGATATGATCTTTAAAAAAAACCCTTCCAATGAGGTTTTATCGAGGTTTTATAGTATTCTTCGAGTTCAAATCATTGCCTTCAAGAGTGTTGCAATGACCGAAAAACTTCTCCAAAGATCTTGAAGAACATCATGGGCCAAAGATACCACAAAATACCTTTACATATCATGGAAAGCTAATGGCAATGACAAAGACAAGCTTCCTCAAATCAAGTTCCAAAGCACCTTTTGATGTTACCTAATCGTTCTCATTGATCCAACTCTCTATAAGTTTATCAGTGTGTGTGCAGAAGGGGTGACTGACAACTCTCAAACTGGCATCGTTAGTCATTTTGATCGCTTGAGTGCTGGTTTCGAGTTCAAGGGTCGATTTCTTCACCTCCGCTTAAATCTTCAACCAGGTTTAACCATACAGCTAAACCTGGCAACCGTTTGAGTCCCAATTTTAGGCCTTATGTTAAGGAGCTTTTTGTTAGAATTCGGTTGTAGAAATACAAAAATGCAGGCATTTTTGGAAAGATTTTTTTTAGTCTAGGGCTTCCAAAATATTCTGGAGTTTTGATCTTTATATTTTCAGGTTCAACTGAGACGTATAGAATATTTTTTCGTAAGAAGTGAATTCAAAAATGCTCCTAGAGTTTAATCACATCATATGAAAAATTAAACAGCATACACAAGGCATAGCAAATTCTCCAAATCATCCTGGAGAATTAGTCTTGATGTTCTACCCTACTGAATGAAATTTTGCTCAATGTCCCGACTAAAGGAACGAATCCGTAGAGCTTCGTGGGACCTCGTATCATCATTAGCGATTCATAGGTGTGTCAACAAATAACTTGGATTCTCCAACTCCTTGTGCAGTTCAGAGCTTGATGTTCTTGTTGACTCAACAAGGTATTCTATGATGGTCCCGACTAAAACTTTAAACCTTTAAAGCTTCGTGGAGCCCCATAACATCATGTGAGATGTATTGCTGTCATGACAAAATATGTCGGGTTTTCCAAATTATCCTGATGTTTAGATCTTGATGTTCTACTTCCTAAACACAGTCTTGTACAATGTTCTGAGCTATTATACAAATCCGTAGAGCTGCGTGAGTCGTCACCACATCATGTGGGACCTGATTTCAAAAAGTTCAACAGGTAATTTTCTTTTGAATTTCGTCTGCAGAACTTCATGCAGCCCCATACTATCATTTGGGATGTACAATTGTAATGGCAAAGTCTTTTGGGTTCTCCAAATTATCCTGCAGTTGAGATCTTGATATTCAACAGGCTCAACAAAGTGTTGTACGATGTTCCGATTTCGTATACACATCCGTAGAGCTTCTTGGGATCTGATCACATCGTGTGATGGCATAAGTCGTATTATCAGATTCTCCAAAGTGCCTGGATTAAAGATATTGAAGTTCTATTGAGCCAATTTGATATTTAACGATGTCCAGACTAAATTTTGGAATCCTCGGAGCCCCCATAATGACATGTGGGATATATAGTTGTAATGACAAAGTATCCTGTGATCTTCTAATTATCCTGAAGCTTCCATTTTTATGTTATACAGGCTGGACAACGTCTTGTACGAATTATTATACGAATCCATAGCGATTTTTTGGCATGTGTAACATTAGTTGAATCAGTATAATATCTTAGATTGAGGCGAACCAGCCCAGGCTGAAAGCCTCCTTAACAAAGGAAACTTAATTTAACTTAATATCTTAGATTCTCCAAAGTGGAGTTGACACCTTGAAATTCTACAGGCTCAATGAAGTCTTCCATAATGTTTCGATATCCTGTAAGAATTCGTGAACATTCACTTAATTTAGGGCATTTCTAGATAGAGCTGAAATTAGGGCGTAACAGCTTTGGTAAACAATTACTTCTCTTAGTGATTTCTAGAAGGTCAAGGCTCGCTCACGCAAATCAACATCACCATCGGGTAGGTGAAGACTTCCACTTTCCGATGGTTTTGTTGGTTTGCGTGGGCGTGCCTTGAATTCCTAGAAATCATCGAGAGAAGTCATTGTTTACAATAGCTATTACGCCCTAATTCCAGCTCTATCTAGATTTGTATTTACGATTTATCTTAGGTTCTCCCAACCGTCCAGAAGTTCAGATCTTTAAGTCCTATACCCAAGTAACATAGCAAGTTTTATCGAGGTTTTAAAGCGTTCTACAAGTCTAAATCATGGTCTACAGAACCCTCTTAAAACCACAATTGTTGCTTGGGTAGGCTCAACTCCCGTTGATTATACGAATCTGTAGAGCTGTATGAGAACATATCGCATTGAACGTCACGAGAGAGGATTTCCAAAAATTCCAAAATATCGTGTACTCCTGCATCATAGCTTATCGAAGTCGCCATAATGATTGATTCAAGTTAAGACCAAAAAAAGCCCTCTAGTTGTTCTCTCATCAATTCAGGTCCATTAGGAATTATTCTGAAGACCTTTAATCTTTCTAATATTTTCCGATTTCATCTGGATGATCAGGAATCATTATGATGACCCTCAATTGGCCAACAAATCAAACGAAGTTCTTCAGATATCCTCTGATCATATCTGGATGATTAGAAATCATTCTGAGGAGCTTCAGACCTTGAGATACTTTCTTATCGTATTACGTTGGTTAGGAATTATTGCGATGACCTTCAGAACTTCAGATATTCTCTCATTACCTAAGGTTGTTTACTACCCATAATCGCATAACAGTCCCATATGGATAGGAAATCAATCAAACAGTTCAGGAATTATTCTGAAGATCTATAGCGAATCAAGAATCCTGTCTAATTCCATCAGATGTGCTCATCATATTACATTGACTGGGAATTATTTTAAAGACCAAAAATTCATACAAAGTCGTTCAGATATTCTTTGAGTATATCAAGCTGATCTGGAATTATTCTGGAGATTTTCAGACCATCAAATATTCTCTCATCATAGTGCGATTTCAAGGAATTATTCAGAAGACTTCGTATATTCTCTCAACGTATAAGATTGATTATGAATAATTCTGAAGACATTTAAACCTTGAAATATTTCACTGAGGCAAATGAAATCACGAATTTCATAAGGCTCGACTCATGAATGACACATTTGAATTTCATTAGCGTGACAATGAATGTTTTTCGTCTCAAGCGTTGAAAGACGAGTGGCCAACAAACGGGCCCCGTAATCTCAACATTCATGGTTCAGTTTCAGCGAAGACATCAAATCAAAAAGACTGGCAACTCTGCCAGAATCCAAGCGACAGATACAGTAGCGCTTCGCTCGAGCGAAAGTGGAAGTAACGCATAGAGAACTGAGCAAATACACAAACCTTTCTTCTGAGGTTGTAATATTTGCTATCAAATTCGTTCGAAGCATTTGCCTTTGCACGGCAGATGACGCGACTGTGCCGGTCTCATAGCGGTCGTATGAGAAAATGGTAGAGTTGCCAGTCTTCTTGATATGTAGTCTTCGGTTTCAGAATCATCAAAATCAAACGACTGTCTAAACAAAACAAAATCAAAGCACAAACCCATTCTACTTACAAAGGTTTTCAAACTTATTATTTTTTTTTTTTGATAATGCATTAACTAAAAATCATAGTGCAAGCTGTATTTTCAGATCTATGATTAAAGTTTCAGAAAATTTGAAAAGCTTACTGAACCCTTATGCGATAAACGAGTGTTTAAAAAAAATTTGTTTACGATTTCATCAGATTTAATTTGTACTATTGTACGGTATAAGTCGTTTTTGTATTCTGTTCTGTATCCTATAAATTAAAAAAAGTAAGATGTTGTATCCAAGACTCGACCGTAGATTTGACGTAGAATTACGTGCTCGGTATCCATATTTGGCGTCTATGTTAGGGAAACCACTATTTGCAGGCAATCGATGATAATTTTGATCACCATTGCAACAGTTGGACATTTGTGTAATTTTCAATAGCGACCTATTCAAGTTTTAGCTTTGTAGAAAAATTACCAATCGATTGGCTTGTTTGGAATTAATATCCATCCGCTATTGACAGAGTTATAAGTGGTCAAAACCTGACCTCTTTTCGTAACGCGGTCGATTTTGGTTTTTTTTTTTTTAATTGAACCCCCAATATGTTGCCGAAAGACGTAATCCTTCGTCCTAAAAATCTCGATACGAATTCGACCTGTTCAACGGGTACAAATTTACGACCCTGTCTGGATATTATTATAAGACTTTTCGTTGCTTGGGTAGGCCCTAGCATAGCTATTGACATCATCGGATTAACCAGACTATACCGGTACAGTGTACCTTAATCTCAAAACAAAAGTATGGCGAGTGAATAATTCCACCCGAAGACGACAACTCCACAACACCGAAGGCTTTGAAGAACGCTTGGGACTTCCGAGAGTCCTACTTACATAATGAACCGCACTGGTAGGATTGTAGTTGTAGACGATTACCCCGTTCTCCTCGCCAACGGGCCGGGGCTGGAGCTCCTTCCCCGTCGGTTGGTAGTACGGTTCCGGCGACTCCGGCGCATAGTTGATGTGATACACGCGTTCCTCCTGGACCTGGCGATCGAAATGGAATGAAACAAAAGAAAATAAAAGGACCATCAATAAAGCAACTGAACAACGCAAATACGTCTAAATTGACGCAATCATGGAAATATTCCTCTAGATCTAAATGAGCTGATTGGAATCTCTCGGGGTGCAACGCTCTTCGACTTGGCAATCGGAAGCCAGAAGCAGACCCGACCGTCTAGGTAGGAACAAAAATGGGAAAACCAACTTCAATTTACATAGAACAGTTCGATCAACTTTCACCGGAGTTATTTATGGCCATTCATTCTTGCCTACAGGGTGGATTGCTGCACCGATAAAGAGTGAAAACTCAAGTTGAAGGAAGGGCTTGGGAGCACAGTATGAAAAACTTCTGTAATTTTGATGTGAAGCAATTTATGAAATATTTCAAATCCTGTGTGCTAGGATTGATTGAGTTTTCGATCTGGCTTTTGCTGCTACGACGTCAATTGTGGCGTCACGTCGCAGTCGAATACATGGGCATGGGCGGATTTGTTTGGGTCAATCTTTTAATGGTGTGTACATTTGATTTACGAGCGTCGATAAAATTAGTCATTATTGCCGTTTTGGGGCTACCGCCATTAATTTGCTTGTGGGGTGCTTGGTTGGAGAGTGGCAGGAATTGAATGATTGAATCGTATTTGAGTGTTGGATGGAGTCGTGTTTCAATACGAGGTGGCATGTTCCGGTTGACGGCTTTCCGTTTGACGAAGCAAACGGACGGTTGACGATGGAAATGGCACTAAGTGAGCGGAAGTCGAACGTAATATTTGTTCTACGCTTCAGAAAATTGGAGACCTTTGTGTTAACAAATACCCATCTGATTCATAAACAAGAAACTTGAAACTTGTGCCCTTTAGACGGAAATGTCTTTGAAATATTTCATGAGCATAGCAGGTCAATCAAAGGCAACAGAAAATATCGGGGGGAATGACTACCCAAGTATGAATAACCAACAAGCCGTTTTAATCCATTTGTTTTCAATATGGCCTGTACTCGAAAAAAATGCACCAGACAAAACTGTTCACCAAAAATTTATTTTAAGTCGGATTTTCTTGAAACTTTCAGGGAATGAACTAATACATATGGATTATGTTTTGGCATAATTACTTTATTCAATTTCCTTTCCATCGCCAAAAGCCCGCACCTTTCCCTTAAAACCCCTCATTACATTTTGTGCAATGGTGGAGCCGACCTTTTTGGTCACTTTCATCCATTATTTCTTCAACTCCAGCTCGTTCTTAAACACCTTGGACGATTTTCGAACTTTGGCCTTCATTATGGCCCAAAATCTTTCCACCGGACGAATCTCTGGTGAATTTGGGGGGTTGGCGGTTTTTGGTACAAAAACAACGTTATTGTCTCTGTACCAATCCAACGTCGATCGCGCGTAATGGCATGATGCCAGGTCCGGCCAAAATAATGTCTCGCCTCCGTGGGACTGCAGGAAGGGCAACAGACGCTTCTGGAGGCACTCGGTGCGGTAAATTTCGCTGTTAATGGTACCCATTGTGATGTACGGTTTACTCAGTTTACCGCATTGGCCTGCCAGAGCAAGTGTTTTTTGGCGAATTTGTCCACTTTCTTCTTCCTTATGTTTTCCGGAACATTAAACCGTGATTTGGCAACGTAGAACTCCAGCCCCGGAATCTGCTTTGCGTCTGCCTTGATGTATGTTTCGTCATCCATAACCACACACATCGGTTTCGTTAACCACTCTCAATACAGCTTCCTTGCGCGGGATTTGGCGTCCGTGTTTTGTTGATCACGCCGGTTCGGTGCCCTCCGGACCATGAATACACGAAGCCCAGCTCGTTTCATGGTTTTCTGAACGAACCAGGCGGAACACTTTACCTTCAGAGCCGCGTCACGAATCGAAAGGTTCGGATTACGCTTGAAATAATCCAACACCTTCCGGGCCTTCACACGGTCAGCTGTCTTCGATTTTCTTCCACTTCCAGCCCGCCTCTCGGTCGTCTGGGACTCCTTAAACGATTTTACCACCCGAGACACAGTTGTATGGGTGATTCCCAGTTGTCTTCCGATCCATCTCATGGTCGCAGTCGGATTTTCCATGACGACGCGCAAAATTCTCCGGCGATTTTCTTCTTGTTTCGATGACATCTCAATAACCACTAAACCGATTGTTATGAAATTTTGCACATGTAAACAATTCACTCCAAACTAGTTATACCCAGATTTTCATCAATTTTTACCCACGGATAAAAAAGGTACACACGGATAAAAATGGTGCATTTTATTCGAGTACAAGCCTTATAAAGCTATCACACGGCTAATATATAATTAAGAAGACTTATAGGGAAAATGGATATAAATTCGGCCTGAATGGGCTCATACAAAAATTCAGCAATCGACTATGTTTTCAATAGCGACTAAAAATATCCATTAGTACCGTTCCAATGACGCGTTCATCTAGATAAAATTGATAAATAGCAGATTTTTAGCGATGGGCCCAATCTTAGATCCATAGGCCAACATTAGAGCCATTTCCCCTAGATCATATGATTTCATACCAACACGATTTGGAGATCCTGGTACACCTGATTTTCATATAAATACATTTTAAATTATGCCCATGGACTCTATTAACATGCTTGGAATGTTTTGTAGTTAACGGAATTTTACCAGTCGTCGATCTAAACTCCAGCATGATTTGGAAAAACCTAGAACATCTTATATTCCTAGAAATCGATTTTAAACTATTCTCATGGTCTCTATGACCCTGATAGGACATGTTTTGTTGCTAGTAGGTGTTGAAGAGTCGTAGCAAGATGTCAATCTATCCAGCAGGCCACTTTTCACAAAATTTGATAAAATTATGTTTTTCGTAGTGTACCAACTGCGTACCATAGCGTACCTTCAAGGATTTTGAACGTACCTCGCAAATTCCTTGTTTTAGAGTGTCCTGCTGAATAGACGGGTGATTTTTCGAAAACCTTCATTAAACCTTCCAAAACCTACACCAATGTAGTGTACCAATAGCGTACCTTCCGAATCTGAGGTTCATTTTTAACGTATCTCAAAATTTACTATACTTACTTATATAAAACTCTTTAAAAAAACATTATATGTAAAATCTGACTTCGGATTTGAACTTCTCGGAAAATTTTAGCCCGATTTGACCCAAAAAACATATTACTTAAGTGTATTATACGCTACTTAATGGCCAAAAACGTGATTTTAAAACAAGTATATCTAAATGCCCTTGAATACCTACATCCAGCTAAACATTCTGTTTACCCCTGAAATTAGATATCGAACAAACATGGGAGGAGAAACTGTTAATATCTTTAAAAAACTACAAGGGACAGCCCTAGGGGTTGTACGCAATGGTGACGTAGCACTACGTGGTCTTATATATTAAATGGTAATGTGTATCTTTATTCAGCCAGGTATTAATCTGAACCATTTTTTTTAATTATTTTCCTTACCTCATTTTCATATTTTCATTTTCTGTTCTATTTACTATCGTACAGATTTGTCTTGAATCTGATGAAATATTGCTTGGAGCCAATGCCCATGATTGTGCTGGGTAATTAAAATTTTTATTCAACAGATTGCGTTCAACGTATCCACATCGTATAATGGCCGCACCAAGCAGACCGCTCGTAAGTCCACCGGAGGAAAGGCTCCTCTCAAACAGATGGAGGAGTGAAGAAGTCTCATCGCTACCGGCCAGGAACAGTCGCTCTGCGTGAGATCCGTCGTTACCAGAAATCGACCGACCTGCTGACTGCAAGTTGCCTTAAAAGCGTCTGGTCCGTGAAATCGCCCAGGACTTCAAGACCGATCTGCGCTTCCAGAGCTCGGCCGTTAATGGCCCTACAGGAATTCAGCGAGGCATATCTGGTCGGTCTGTTCGCCATCCATGCCAAGCGTGTCACAATTAATTCATGTTCCATATTCGGTTTTCACAATGTGTACCCCCATATTGAAATCACAGACGTCCTACGTCAAAACCGTACGGTCGTGTCATGGATGCAACCTCTTATTCTTTTTGTCAACATTGTTTTCATAAGGCAAATCAACTGATTTCTTATCGCGAACTTTGCTAACGCTGCTTTCGAACATTTAAAAGTTCAATAAATCATCAAAACCTCTTTCACGTTGGAAATCGATTTGTGGCCCTGAAAAGGGCTGATTGATTGTTTGGATGGAACTAATTTACTTGGAGCTAGTGTACTTGGTAACGGCCTTGGTTCCTTCAGAGACAGCGTGCTTGGCCAACTCACCCGCCATAGCAGATGGACAGCAGTTTGGATTTCGCGGGAGGTGATCGTCGAGCGTTTGTTGTATTGAGGACGACTCAGCAGCAATACGTTCGAAGATGTCATTGACGAAGCTGTTCATGATGCTCATGGCCTTTGACGAGACTCCGGTGTCCGGGTGGACCTGCTTCAACACCTTGTAGATGTAGATGGCAGAGCTTTTTTTCCTGCGCTGTCTCCTCTTCTTCTTCTCTCCCTTGACGATGACTTTCTGCGCCTTTCCGGACTTCTTGGCGGCCTTTCCACTGGTTTTCGGTGCCAAAATTTAGCTGTTCGCTTCGGTAGAGAATAACTGATAGTCGTTTCGACGGTGATGTCTCGTTTTGTGCTCGTAGCATAAGAAGCGAAACTCCTCCCCTTTTCAGTATTTTGCTTCCCACTGTATGTATTGTACCCTCCCTGTATTAATAATATGCTACTCGACGCAGGTATAAGTATACCCTCGATGAGTGAAATAAACCGACCTATCTGGTCGGTCTGTTCGCCTTTCACGCCAAACGTGTCACAATTATGCCAAAGGACCTTCAGCTGGCTCTTCGTATTTGTGGTGAACGCTCTTAATTTTTCCATCGAAATCTATCAAAACCGGCCATTTTCAGAGCCACTAAAAGATTCCACAAGAGAGTTGGGAAGGAAATTTGTGCTGCTTACAACTGATCGAATCACAGTGAATCCTGATCTAAAAATTGCAACCAGCAA